GCATTGAACACTCATGACTGAAGACCAGATGAGTTGTGGAATGACATCAAGGACATCATACATGAAGAAAGCAAGAGGTCATTAAAAAGACAGGAAAGAAAGTAAAGACCAAAATGAATGTCAGAAGAGACTCTGAAACTTGCTCTTGAACCTCGAATAGCTAAAACAAACAGAAGAAATGATGAAGTAAAAGAACTGAACAAAAAATTTCAAAGAGTGGCTCGAGAAGACAAAGTGAAGTATTATAATGACACGCAAAGACCTCGAGTTAGAAAACCAAAAGGGAAGAACAAGTTTGGCATTTGTCAAGCTGAAAGAACTGAACAAAAATGTCAAGGCTGGAGTTACAATAGTGAAGAATTCTATGGGCAAAATACTGAATGGCACAGGAAGCATCAAAAAAAGATGGAAAGAATACACACAGTCACTGTTCCAAAAAGAATCCATCCAAGTGTAACCATTTCAGGAGGTAGCATATGATCAGGAACCAATGGTACTAAAGAAAGAGGTCCAAGCTGTGCTGAAGACATTGGTGAAAAACAAGGCTCTAGGAACTGAGGGAATATCCATTGAGATGTTTCAAGAAATGAATGCAGTGCTGAAAGTGCTCACTCATCTATGCTAAGAAATTTGGAAGACAGCTACCTGGCCAACCAACTGGAAGAGATCCATACTTATGCCTATTCCAAAGAAAGGGGATCCAATCAAATGTGGAAATTATTGAACAGTATGATTAATATCACACACAAGTAAAATTTTACAAAAGACCATTCAAAAGTAGCTGTAGCATTACATGAGCAGGGAACTGCCAGAAATTCAAGCCAGATTCAGAAGAGGGCAAGAAACGACGGATATCATTGCTGATTTCAGATGGATCCTGGCTGAAAGCACAGAATACTAGAAAGATGTTTACCTGTGTTTTATTTGACTATGCTAAGGCATTCGAATGTGTGGATCATAATAAATTATGGATAATATTGCGAAGAATGGGAATCCCAGAACACTTCATTGTGCTCATGAGGAACCTGTACATAAATCAAGAGGCAGTCATTTGAACAGAACAAGGGAATACCGTGTGGTTTAAAGTTAGGAAAGAAGTGTGTCAGGGTTGTATCCTTTCACCATACTTATTCAATCTGTATGCTGAGCAAAGAATCTGAGAAGCTGGACTATGTGAGGAAGAACTCAGCATCACTATTGGAGAAAGACTAATTAACAACCCGTGTTATGCAGATTGACACAGCCTTCTTTCTGAAAGTGAAGAGGACTTGAAGCACTTGCAGATGAAATCAAAGACTACAGCTTTCAGTATGGATTACGCGTCAACATAAAGAAAATAAAAATCCTCACAAGTGGACCAATAAGTAACATCATGATAAATGGAGAAAAGATTGAAGTTGTCAAGGATTTCATTTTACTTGGATCCACAATCAACACCCATGGAAGCAGCAGTCAAGAAATCAAAGGACGCATTGTAACAGTCAAATTTGCTACAAAAGACCTCTTTAAAGTGTTAAGAAACAAAGATGTCACCTTGAAGACTAAGGTGCGCCTGATCCAAGCCATGGTGTTTTCAATTGCTCATATGCACGAGAAAGCTGGACAATGAATAAGGATGACTAAAGAAGAATTGATGCATTTTAATACTGGTGTTTGTGAAGAATATTGAATATACATGAACTGCCAGAAGAAAGAACAAATCTGTCTTAGAAGTACAACCAGAATGCTCCTTAGAAGCAAGGATGTGAGACTATGTCTCACATACTTTGGACATGTTTTCTGTAGGTATCAGGCCCTGGAGAAGGACATCATGCTTGGAAAAGTAGAGAGTGAGCGAAAAAGATGAAGACCCTCATTGAGATGGATTGACACACTGACTGCAACAATGGGCTCAGGCATAGCAACGATTGTGAGGATGCCATGGGACTGGACAGTGTTTCGTTCTGTTGTACATAGGGTCACTATGATTCCAAACCAACTCACTGGCACCTAAGAACAACAACAGTCAACTCTAAGTAGGATAAGCCCAAAGATACCCAAACCAATACTGATTATTAACAGTCTCTCAAAAATTAAAAATAATGTGAGGATTGTGAAAATGGTGAAGGAAAAGTTAAAGGTGACATACAAGGAAATCCCAATAAGGTTACGTGCTAATTTCACCTCAGAAACCTTTGAGGCCACAAGGCAATAGAATCATATATATAAAGTACTGAAAGAAAGGAACTGTCATCCAGGAATATTATATGTGGTGAAGGTGTCCTTCAAGAAAGATGGTGAAATTAAGTCATTCATAGATGAGCAAAAGTTGCCAAAATTCATTTCCAGAAGATCACTCCTACAGGAAATTCTAAAGCAGTCCTTCATAAAGGAAAGAGGACAGTAAAAAGAAACTTGAAGCCCCATAATGAAAGAACTCCAGTAAAGAAAATCACATGGGCAAAAATCAGGGAATATAAGGTATTCTTACTTGATAACTGTAAAAGGTTGTATCCTTCCTACTTCAAATGACAAACATATTAAAGTAAGTAAAAATTCATGTTACTGGTCACATGATATATAAAAACTGTAATTGAAATTTCAACAATATAAGTGGGAGGATTAACTGTAGGGGTATAGAGTTTCAGTATGTCACTGAAGTTAAGCTGGTATGAAGGTATCCTAGGTCACTATAAAAGCAGGATGATAAATATAATATCCTTGGTAACCACAAATAAAATATCTAAAAAGTACACACAAAAGAATGGATAAGTGAATCAAAATGGCTAACTACAAAAAGCAGAAAAATAAAAATATGGTAGCATTAGACGCAATAAGGGACAAAGGAGGCACATGTCTGTTAATATCAGAAAAAATAGGCTTCGAGTCAAAATCTCTTGAAAGAGACAAACAAGGATATTATATAATGATAAAAGGATAAAATTTTAAAAAAGGATATAAAATTATAACTATATATGCACCCAATATCAGTGCACCAAAATACGTAAAACAAACACTGAAATAATTGAAAAAGAAGTAGACATTTTTGCAATAATAATGTGAGACTTCAATACACCACTCTCAATAATGGACAGAACATCTAGAAAAAAGCACAATAAGAAAGCAGAAGACCTGAATAACATGATAAACAAACTAGACTTAACAGACATATATAGAATAATCTACCCTACAACAATAGTGAAATACACTTCCTCTCCAGTGCAGATGAATCATTCTCCAGGATAGACTACATGTTAAGTCACAAAGCAAGCCTCCGTAAATTTTAAAATATGAAATTATGCAAAGTATTTTCTTGACAAAAATGGTAGGAAATTAGAAATTAACAGAAAAAAATAACTGGAAAATACTTAAACGTATGGAAATTAAACAAAACACTATTAACCAACCATTGGGTCAAGGAAAAAAATCAGATGAGAAATCAGAAAGTATTTAGAGATGAATGAAAATGGAACCACAGCATACTAAAATATATGGGATGCAGCAAAAGTAGTGATCAGATGGAAATTTATAGCAGTAAATGCCTGTATTAAAAAAAGATCACAAATTAAAAACGTAAAAATTAACCAAACTCAAACCAACCAGAGAAAGGATGTAACAAAGATTAACAAAGATTAAAGCAGAGATAAATGAAACAGAAAAATAGAAAAACAACAGAAAAAATCATTGAAACCAGAAGTTTGTTTGTTTGTTTTTGAGAGGATCGATAAAAATGACAAGACTTTCGCTAGCATGATATCCTTCTACAGGGACTGGTCTCTCCTGATAACGTGTCTAAAGTATGTGACACTTGTCTCGCCATCCTTGCTTCTGAGGAGGATTCTGGTTGTACTTCTTCCGAGACAGATTTGCTCATTCTTTTGGCAGTCCACGATATATTCAATACTCTTTTCGAACACCACAATTCAAAGACATCATTTCTTCTTTGGTCTTCCTTATTCCTCATCCAACTTTCACATGCGTATGAGGCGGTTAAAAACACCATGGCTTGGGTCAGGTGCAGCTTAGTCTTCAAGGTGACATTTTTGCTTTTCAACACTTAAAGTAGATCTTTTGCAACAGATTTTCCCAATGCATTTGTCATTTGATTTCTAGACTGCTGCTTCCATGGGTGTGGATCGTGAATCCAAGTTAAATGAAATCCTTGACAACGTCAATCTTTTCTCCATTTATCATAATGTTGCTTATAATATATTATTATTATTATTTCTTATATTATATCTTGATGTTGCTTATTTATACATAAAAACCAAAAAACCTACTGCCATTGAGTCAATTCTAACTCATAGCAACCCTAAGGGGGTTTTTAATAATTTTTTATTAGTTTGATATCAGAATAAAAAGCTGTTAATTTATTTTATCTCCAACAGTAACTAATGCATTATTGGGCATAAAATATTTCTGTTACATATATTTATTGATTACATTCTCAGTGTTAATTTAAATAATCCATGTATAAACTATAATAGTAGAAGACTATGATTAATAAATTATCTAAATTTAGTCTATAGTAAGCCATTCTAGAACAATAATTTTCAGTGAACTTTTCATGCAAAAAAGTCATAGATTTTATATGACACTGGTATCATCCTAAGCATACAAAGGAAATAAATTAAGATCTTTTAAGCGGATTTTTTTATTTCAATCTATCTTTAAAATTCTCCTAAGTATTTTCTTTGCAAGTCTAATCACAGAGCACTTATGTTTCATTGTCTTTAAGAAACAAAGCACATATCTTTGTAGCTTTATAAACCTAATTTCTTGATTTAATTTTTAAGAATACCAGAAACATTGTGGAGGGTAGTTAAAATCATAGAGACACTATTGGTTTTTCCAATGTAGAGCTTGACATTTTTTTACTATTTTGTTATAAACTACTAAAGTAAGTAAATGAAGAAACATCACATACAGAATTTCCCTTCATTAAAGCTTGAAGGTTCTTTTTTTTTTTTTCCTTTTAATTTAGGTGCCAGTTAAACGAATCAGAGAAAGAGTAGGTGTTTTTAGATTTCTGATCGAAACTGCAGTGTAGATCCTTTCATTTTCTTTTCATAATCTTCAAATCTCTCATACTGGGCTACAGTGAACTGATTCTTCCAGTCTCCCAAAATACCTGAAAAGAATAAATAAATAAATAAAAAATAAAAGGGCAAATTTAAGACTACTGTAAAACTTCTCTCCTAAGTTTTCATTTGAAGTAGCACACTAGTTTTTAAACTTTTAACTTTAGAAAGTTATACCTACTCCACAGCTCTCTTCCTCACCTCCTACTACCACTCTCAGACTCCTAGGTCTCCTTAGTCTTATAGAAATTCCCACAGGTTTTTCCCGTATCATATGTAAGGAACTAATACCTTAAATAGCTCTGAGAAATGTCAACTGGGAGAAAGCCCAATGTCTCAAAACCCTTACTCTTTGTTTTTAGGGGCTTTATTAACAAAAGATATAGAGACATTTTGATTCATTTTAAAACTATATTTTTCCAAAGTTAGATGACAATTTATCTTATGAGAAAAAACAAAAACAAACAGAAAACTTCTATGTTCAAGCAAGACTTGGAATTGCTTACTATTAAACAGATTTCTTTATCATAGGATTTTTAAAGTCTTTAAAAGACTATTTCAAAAATCCTTTTTTTTTTTTTTTTTGTATTTTATTGTACTTCAGGTGAAGGCTTACAGAACAAATAGTTTCTCATGAAACAGTACTACACATGTTGTTTTATGACATTGGTTAACAACCCCACAACATATTAACCCTCTAACTTCTCAACCTTTTTTTTTTTGGTGAAAATAAACATAGCCAAAGATATACCGTTTCATAAATTTCTACATACACAGTTCAGTGACATTGACTATGCTCTAGCAATTGTGCTATTATTCTCACTTAAGATGAAGGCTTGCAGAACAAAATAGTTTCTCATTTAACAGTTACTACAAAATGTTGCTCTATGACAATGGTTAACAATCTCACAACACATCGACAATATCCTTCACTCAACCTTGGGTTCCATATCACCAGCTTCCTTGTCCCCTTGTGCCTTCTGGCCCTTGTCACTGGACTCCTGTACCTTGTTAGTCTCATTTGGTTTTCCAGGGCTGTCCACTCCCAGGCTGAACAGTGAACCTCAGAGGTAACTTCACCACTGAGCTAAAAGGGTGTCTGGGGGCCGTACTCTCGAGGTTTCTCCAGTCTCCTTCAGGCCAGTAAATCTGGTATTTTTTTTGTGAGTTAGAATTATGCTCTACATCCTTCTCCAGCTCTGTCCAGAGCCCTGTTGTGATCCTGGTCAGAGCGGTCAGTGGTGGTAGCCGGGCACCATCTAGCTGTACTGGACTCAGTCCGGTGGAGGCCTTGGTAGCTGTGGACAATTAGTCCTTCGGACTAATCTTTTCC